ATGTTTATTATATGCCGAACTGAAAGTGGTGGCATTTCTTTTCTTTTATTTTTCTCATTACCGTATTGAAATATGATTATTTATCAGGTGTTATTTGCTGCAACTCATTAAAGTCAGTTTGTCCCATTTAGAGGTTATAGCCTTCAACACTGTCGGTTTATTTGCAATATCTCCTCAAATCTGCACAGAAAGTGACAAAGAGCAACAAAACCCTACAAATTGATTCATGACATATATTTGGAAAGAAGTTTAGTTTAAGTGTTTTTAAGACCTTTCTCTAGCTAACTTGTTGTCACTATAAAACAGTTTATTTCATAAGTTCAGCTCTGTGCACAGAGTAAAGTAGATCATTTATGTTTTATATTTAACAAAAATCATAATTTCCTGAGTTATTATTAGCAACCAAACTGGCAAACAAATGGGCTTGTGTGTGTGTGTGTGTGTGTGTGGGGGGGGGGGGGGGGGTTCATTCAAGCAAAAAATCTGGAGTTGGTGTGTGTGATTGGCACACAATGCAGATGTGTGGGCAGCAAGTGCCATCTGGAGAAAGCGCAGCAGGTTTGTAAAAGGAGGGAAATGGGAGCGGGGAGGTTCTTGTGCCCCCCTCCCCCCACAAACACCCCCACTGAAAGAAAGACGCTGGGTTGACAGGCAAATAAAAGAAATGCTGGGAGTGTAATCAATCAAAAGCAATCCGACTCAAGCTAAAAGAGACAGGAGAGACCGCCCTCCCACCGCCACCCTGTCCCGACCGACCGCCATCGTGGTCAGTCGTCACCAGCTGAGCTCTGCTCTGACTGAAGGGGCTCAAAAACACAGGACTCTTCTGGAGTTTTCATGTTGCCAAACTAGTGTTCAAGATGTTGTGTTTGCCTCTGCAGGTTGGAAGCTGTGATGGTCCGGCGTCACCTCAGCTGAGCTTGTGAGGGCACCAGATGCTTCATGTGCTTCATCAGACTGGACCACGAGCTGTCACGGGTTAGCCTTTAAACCAGTGAGGGCAGAAAACCACATCCCAGGAGACACAAACATGCATCTCCTTCTATTATTCTCCATATAGCCAGACATGACACTTTTTGTGTCTATGAGGGAAACACAAAACTGTTTGTTGTAAGAGTCTAAGCCCGAGCACTTCTTAAAGGAATGCATCCCCACCATGCCACTGTTTAAACTTTAAACTAAGATTTGTCATAAAAACAAAACTGATTCACAATCAGGTGTAGATTTCATCAAATTTATTACAAAGCTT